TGAACAGGAGTGTGTTCATGATCCTCCCTCTGTATGTTTGTTGTTAGTGTATAGAAAAGTCATTGATTTGTGCAGGTTGATTCTGTATCTTGCCACGTGGCTGAATTGATCTTTTCTAGACGTTTTCTGGTACAATTTTGTATCATGTCAACTAGGAACTAGGAATAGTGTGACTCTTTCCCTGTTTGTGTCCCTTAGTTTCCTTCTCTGCCTCACTGTTCCAGCTTCAAGCACATTATTGAGAAGGAATCAGAACAGTAGACAGCCCTGTCTCATTCCTGACTTCAGGGGGATTGCTTCGAGCTTTTCTCCATTTATGATGACATCGCTGTGGGTTTCTCATGCATAGTTTTTGTTATGTTGAGGTATGATCCCTTCAGCCCTACATTCTCCAGGACTTTTATCATGAAGGTATATTGGATCTTGTCAAAGGCTTTTTTCTTCATATGTTGAGGTGATTATATGGATTTGTTGTTGTCAATTTATGCGTTTATTACATTTAGTGAAGTATATACATTTCAGGGAGAAAGCCAGCTTAGTCATGGTGGATAATCTTTCTGATGTATGTCTGTATTCCTTTTTTTTAACTGAGCGTTTTTAAGTTTATGTTCATCGGGGATGTTGGAATATAGTTCTCTCTCTCTCTCTCTCTCTCTCTCTCTCTCTCTCTCTCTCTTTCTGTGTCTTTCCCTTGTTTTGGTCTTCAAGTGATACTGATTTCATAGAAAGCTTGGGCGTGCTCCTTAATGTTCCTGTTCTTTTGAATAGTTTAAGAAGGATTGGCTGTTGATCTTCTTTGACAGATTGGTAGAATTCTGCTATGAATCCATTTGGCCCTGGCATGTTTTTTTTTTTGTTTGTTTGTTTGTTTTGTGTTTTTGTTTTGTTTTGATTTTTAGTTGAAAGGCTTTTTATTATTTCAATCTCCTCATTTGTTGTGTATCTGTTTAGGTTGTTGATTTCTTGGTTTAATTTGGCTGAATCTAGAAATTCATCCTTTTTTTTCATATTTTCAAAAAATAGCTTAATGGTATACAGGTTTCTAAAAATATTCCCTTATAATATTCTGACTTTCTTTAGTATCTGTTGTAATTATTTCTGATTTTGTTAATTTGGGTCTTCTCTTTCTTTCTTTTGGTTTGTTGAGCCAAGGGTCTATCAATCTTGTTTATTGTCTCAAAAAAAAAAAAAAGAGTCACTCTTAGATTTGTTGGTTCTTTGTATTATGTGCTGTTGTTGTCGTTTCTATTTCGTTGATTCCCACTGTGATTTGTTTTTCTTCCCATTGACTGGGTTTGGATTTGGTTTGTTCTTGTTTTTCCAAATTTTTGAATTGTATCATTGTCATTTATTTATGCTCTTTCTGATTTTTCAATATAGTCACTTAGAGCTATACATTTCCCCTCGTAAGACTGCTTTCAATTTGTACCTGAGGTTTTGGTGTGTTATGTTTTCATTTCGTTTAGTTCTAGGAAATTTTTTAATTTTCTTAATTTTTTCTGAGGCTCATTCATCACTCAGTAATGTGCTGTTTAACCTTCATGAGTTTGTGTATTTACTAAAGATTTTTGGCTGTAAATTTTAAGTTTTGTTTCTTTTTGGTCAGATGGGATACAAGGAGTGATTTCTCTTTTTGAATTTTTAAAGATTTATTTTGTGCCCCAGAATGTGGTCCAATTTAGACAAGTTTCCATTTGCTGCTGAGTAGAATGTATATTCTTTGGTGTTTAGTTAGAATGTTCTGTAGGTATTTGTTAGGTCCATTTGATGTATTATATAATTAATTCTGGTGTTTCTCTGTTTAGTTTTTGTTCAAATGACCTATTAGAGAAAGTGGGGTATTGAAATCCTTTACTATTATTGGATTGATATTAATCTGTGTCTTTAAATCTAGTAGTAGTAGTTTTATTTGTTTGTCTGTTTGTTTGTTATGAAATTGGGTGCCTCAGAGTTTGGTGCCTGTATGTTTAAGATACTAATGTCTCCCTGGTAAACTGTTCCTTTGATTAAAGTGATGTGTCCCTCTTTCTCTCTTCCAGTTAATTTTAATTTGAAGTCTGTTTTGTCAGATAATAGGGTAACCTATTTGTGTCTACTACGTCCACTGGACTGTGGACTAGGACGCTATGCCTTGGGGCTGCTGGTTATGATTAAATGAGTTAGCCATGTAACCACCTGGCCAACTGAACCGTCCACTTGCTTTCTTTACTAAGAAATATGCAAATTTGGCAGCATTCCCACCCTGGGGGAAAAGACAATGAAAAATAAAAACATTTTTTGTTTTTTTAAGGCATCTGTAAAGAAATTACTAGAACTGTTACAATTAAGAAACTACTCGGGGGTCTGGAGAGATGGCTCAGAGGTTAAGAGCACCGACTGTTCTTCCAGAGGTCCTGAGTTCAATTCCCAGCACCCACATGGTGGCTCACAACCATCTGTAATGAGATCTGGCGCCCTCCTCTGTATACATAATAAATAAATCTTAAAACGAAAGAAAGAAAGAACGAAAGAAAGAAAGAAAGAAAGAGAGAGAGGGAGGGAGGGAGGGAGGGAGGGAGGGAGGGAGGAAGAAGAAAGAGAGAGCGAGAGCGAGAGCGAGAGAGAAAGAAAGGAAGGAAGGAAGGAAGAAAGAAACTACTCGGGCTGGAGAGATGGCTCAGAGGTTAAGCACACTGGCGGCTCTTCCAGAGGTCCTGAGCTCAATTCCCAGCAAACACATGGTGGCTCACAACCATTTGTAACGAGATATGGCGCCCTCTTCTGGCCTGCACATGCAGGCAGAACACTGTATACATAATTAGTAAATCTTAGGATTAGGAAATAATTAGGAAAGGAAGAAAGAAAGAAACTACTCAGTTTGCTGGGCCTAAGATGTAAGATTATAGATTCAAACCCACAATGTCCCTAGATAATCAATTGGGTTATTTAACAGGAGGAAAAAACCCTATTTGTATAGAGACAAAATTGTCATGTTTTACTAGATAAATATACTAAACATATATGCTCTAAATAAATATTTTTAAAGAAGGAAAAGTTGATAGTGTTTGGGAAAACAGTAATTTTATGGCATTGCTAATAATTTTCATACTGTGCTCTAGGGATGGGAGAGTTGCTATTGCAGATGAAGGACCAAATGCTGTCACTCAGCCCTTACTGCCTTCATCGCACCCTGATGTGATTCAGTCCTGACCACGAGACTTTGGCATGTCCACAGAAGCTTCCCTGGGCAGTGCTGAACCTTTGTTCCCTGGCAGCCTTTCTGTGTGAGGTTCTTTGTGGAGATCTGGAAGAGTCCGGGTTCTACCCTTTAATAGCCTAAACCATTCTATTGGTTCCTGTTTTTTAACTTTAAAAATGGGCCAACAAGAGTCCTTGCCTTGAATTATTTCGGAAAACATTAAATATAAAGAAGAATGAACTAATCCTAAATGCACAATCGAGCAAAGGCTTCCAACAGGCTCTTTGCCACTTTTCAGTCACCCAGCATCACCTTGGCACTACCCCAGATAATGGCAACTTGGTTCGGAGAAGTCAGCTCTTGCTTAGAGCCTAACATACAGCACAGTGCTGTCCCGACTCTAGAGTCTGTGCAGTCAGGAAGCTTAACTACTCACAGGCTAAAACAAAAGCTCTTATATGACCCTTGCCCTGCTAGGCCTGCTAGAGCCATGGTGCTCCCATGTTATGAAAAAGAGTTTCAACTTCAAGAGTCTGTGAGCATCTGTTTACAGGTGCTATCAGTGATTACAGCAGAACCCAGAAGATGCCAGCAATGCCATGGAAAAATGTATCACCAGAGGTTCAGCCTTCACTGCTCAAAGGAAGCCTTGTACAGCCCTTGGCAGCCAGCCCTGTTATTAGGGTTATACTTTCTCAACTGAAATCATTTTACCTTTGAAATTTTGCTTCAGTGGCTTATATAAGCCCTCTCTTATAATCACTTTAGTTTCTCAAATGTTCTTCCTTTTGAACTAATACCAAAGAGAGAAGCTAATTATCAAGAGGAAACACTTACATGTTAGAAACCATGTATGTGTAATTTTTTGTTGGTGCTTTTATTTTGTTTTGAGACAGGGTCTCACTATGCAGTCCTGGCTGGCCTAGAACTCTCTCTGTGTATTGTATTATACTCAAACTCACAGAGATCTACCTGTCTCTGCCTTCAGAGTTTTGGAATTAAAGATGTATACTACCATGCCCAGCTATTTATAAAATATTTAAATTATGTACCTCATATGTTTCCATATTGAGATCTTCTCAGACTCCTCATAAGATCAAGAAAAGCATCTACAAACATATCCCTTGGACATAGGTATAAATGGATATGTATTGATGATATAATAATAATAGTAATAGTACATTATAATTTGTGCCAGATAGCTGCTCATTTACATGCTCTTTCATTGTCCCACAGTAATATAACGAGCTACATTCTTAACTCTATTCTAAGAGTAGCAATGGAAATTCATTTAAAGTCCAGACAGTGACAGAGTCAAACTCAACTCAAGGCTAACCAAAACCCTACTCCACATCCTACGCCTTTGCTGCCCACCGGAGAATGGCTGGTGGGCAACAGAACAAAACAATCACGATAGGAAGGAAACAGATGTGTTAACAGTGTAGCCAGTTTTACATAATTTCCTGTAACCTGCCCTAGAATCTGCTAATAAATTTAACTGATTTCTGCTTACCTTTAGAAGAAGCATTTCAAAATCAATGCTGTTTATCCAAATATCTCTTTAGCCATAATCAACAGAGTAAAGCTAATAGACTAAATTTCGAAAGAATTCTAAACAGAGATGTTTTGGATGTAAGTACGTAAAATGAGAAGGATCTTTTACCCCGTGTTGGTCTATAGATAACGAAACTACTTTTTTTCCATGCCTTGTAGATAAAAACATATGCTCTTTTAATAGTTAGTATATTCAAATCTACAGTCAAACCACTTAATGAATATACTTTTCTCTTTTATGAATATAATTTTTCTTTTGATGTTTAAGGTAAAGGAAGAAGTTGGAGATGTTAGCATTCTGGTAAATAACGCGGGCGTTGTCTACACTTCAGATTTGTTTGCTACGCAAGACGCTCAAATTGAAAAGACTTTCGAAGTCAATGTGCTTGCACACTTTTGGGTGAGTGTGATTTCTTTTACAAAATACTCAAAGATTAAGAGTTTCTAGCCAGGCGGTGTTGGCGCACGCCTTTAATCCCATCACTCGGGAGGCAGAGTCAGGCGAATCTCTGTGAGTTTGAGGCCAGCCTGGTCTACAGAGTGAGATCCAGGACAGGCACCAAAACTACACAGAGAAACCCTGTCTCGAGAAACCAAAAAAAAAAGAGTTTGTTTCTAATGATATGACTACATTTTACCAACAGTTGCACCTTCCAAAACTAATAATGAAGTAAGTCATTGTAAGTTTCAGGTATCTGTGAAGCAGGAACCTGAAGGACCATTTTGCCAAGCAAAGTTCAGTGGTCATGTTTCTATGGGTCCTGTATGTCCAGTCGATCAAGCAGTCCAGGCAAGAACAGTTTCTTGCCCAAATGGCTATTTTTGCCAAGGTGAAGATAAACTTCATATGGAGTGTCTTCAATGCTCATCCTCCTCTCTGAAGTAAATCGGTGCTGCCAGGAGCAAACATGTCTCACTGTCCAGAAAGTCTAAATTTTTAAAAATATTTTAAATGCCATATTTTGTAGGTCTTTGAAGTATTTGAAGATTACCTATCTATCTGAAATATATCTATGTATACCTAGAAGACTTAACTAACATGGCTACAAATATGATTATTATAGATGACTAATATTAATCTATTAATTATCCATTACAATTTAAATGAGCTGTACAAACATAACACCTTAAACAAGAGTAGAAATATACACACAGTGTAACAAAATTAACTTTAAATTTGTATCAATAAGCTAAAATCTATACCAATGTAAAACATTTTAAACAAGTTGCTCTTTAAAAGTAGGTTCATTAATCTACCCTTTCATCCTATCATATCTGTATCATATCCCCTTTTCTTCTTAAGAAAGAGATCGCATTTATAATCAACCTGATTTAAATAAAATACTTTCACCAATAGGTTAGAAATATGAGCAGTGAGCAGTTCAAAGAGATGGTTCTCAACACTCTGAGCTTCTCTTGTAGTTATTCTGATGTCATGTCCTGTCCATTTGTCTGGGCTTGTGCTTGGCAGTAAGGTGTCTTCATTTATATCAGGGACAATGTTTGGAGAGCATATCTTTGTTTCAAAATATTTTCTATGAGCCTGTGAACCAGAAATAATATATGGTTTTTCTTTTTTTAAATAAAAATTATTTCTAGACCACAAAGGCATTTCTTCCAGAGATGATGAAGAACAATCACGGCCATATTGTCACTGTGGCGTCAGCAGCTGGGCACACGGTGGTTCCCTTCTTGCTGGCTTACTGGTAAGTGAGTACTTTTCCTCCACCGACTTCTGAGCTTGATTGTTTGCTTTTATTTCTTATTATTTTGGTTATATCCTTGAAAACTTTTATGTAAGATGCACACATATATAGAAATAAATTACCCACCTACCTATTTGTACTTATATCTGCATGTTTCCACACATCTATAGGTATAAGTATGGATACATATTATTGTTTTTAGAGTTTAGGCACTTAATCTTTCTTATCCTATCTAATGAGGACTATCATCATCATGATAATAGACTCAAAGTTGCCCAAGGAGGAAGAGCTTCAAAAAGTCTTGGGGTTAACAGTATCATCAACTGCTAAACCCCTTTTTAGTTCACCTCAAAAGCTGTCCTGGAGGTCTCTGGAGTCCCTGGTCCATTTATGAGACAGTCACTTAAAACATTTCCCATGCCTTCTAGCAATAAAGAAACAACAGAGTAGTGTTTCTGCACCATGGAGATGGCGTAAAATAGCTTACAAAGAAGAATGGCCATGTTTACAAGTGACGAGGGTGTCATCTGTGATAACTGTAACCACAGAGCTGTGGGTGGACCCACACTGGAGTCTCAGCTGTCAGCTTCATCTGTGAGCCGATCACAACCTTCACCCGTTTGGTCAGTCTTTTCTCTGGACTGCCAGCCCCCAAATCATGACCCAGAGACTTAATATTAATTATTAGCTTAGCTTGCCCCACCAGCTCTTATAACTTAAATTAAGCTATGTGCTACCACATGGCTCGTGGCTTTTACCTCTCCTCTTCCATGCCCTGCTTCCTCTGCGTCCAACTGGCATCTCCACCTTCCTTCCTCTCTGGGTCCTCTCTGTCCCCAGAAGTCCTTTTTCCTGCCTAGGTATTGGCATTCAGCTCTCTATTAAACCAATCGCAGTGAATTGTGATCTTCACACAATGTAAAGGGATATTCCAGCTCAGGGCTGGAATTTTCATAGACACTGAAGACCTCCACCAGCAGAAAGCCAGGTCATCAGACGTTGGTGACAAGCGGTCGACTGAGCCTGGATGCTTCTAAGTGAACACACTACTTTCTTTTTCCTTCTTTCTTTGTGCTTCTCTCTCTCTCTCTCTCTCTCTCTCTCTCTCTCTCTCTCTCTCTCTCCCTCTCCCTCTCCCTCTCTGTTTCCTTCCCTCCCTCCCTCTCCTTCTTTCCCTCCCTGCCTCCCTCGTTTTTTATTTCTTGAGACAGGGTGTCATGTGGCCAAGCCAGGGATGGTCTTGAACTCCTGATCTTGTGTTGAGCTCCCAAGTCCTGGGCTTACAGGTGTGTGCTAGCGTGCCTAGTCTCTGCAGTACTGGATCACACCCGGGGCCCTGTGCATGCCAGGCGAGCAGGTGAGCACTCTACACTGAGCTACAACCTGGCCCTGGCGCGGCCTTTTAATTGTAAAGCTTTTGAAAAGCATAATGATAATGAAAAATGAATTACTTCCAAGTAGATGCATCCATTAAGAAATAATAAATTTTTTTAAAAAAAGCCACCACCCCTGGAGCCTTTTAGTGCTCTTCCTAGTTACCACCACAGACAACCACAAACCACCTATAACAACACAGGTTAAACTTGCCTGTTTTTGATCTTTATGTACATGGAATCTAACTGTATTTGCAAGATGTGCCCATAGTGCCATTAGTGGCTATTGTTTGATCATACATAGTTTTGTATCATGTGACTATACGGCAACCTGTCTGCCTGTTCTACTGTTATGAACATCTGGGATGTTTCTAGGATAGGATTCTTATGGGGTAATGATGTGAGCATTGACTAAGCATTGACTGGCTTAGGACCTTAGGCTAAGCTGCTTACCTCTTCTGTGCTGAATTTTCCTCATCCATAACATAGTTTAATAACCGTGTCTGATGTAAATCCCGCAACACAATGAACTTAGCACTGACTCTGGGATCCTGAGATTCCTCAGTATCTGAAGGGTACCTGCTGGAATTTCACTTCCACTTCCGCATATTCACAAAAGACAATAGGGCCCCGCCTCTCGGCTCCCAGAATATGGCCACCGGAAACTGATTGTGTGTTCTCCAGTTGCTCTTTGTGGGATGAACGAAGGAAAGACGGAATTACTGGTTCTTTTCTCTCTAACCGAATCCTCACCTATCAATGTAGTTGGTTGTCACAGCAACAGAATTTCTTATAACTCTCTGACCGTCTTTCTCGGGAGAAAATTAATCATACTTGAGGAGTTATAGCTGAACAGTTTCAATGATTAACATGAAATTACATAGTGACAAAACTAAATTCATAGTGAGGAAGAACAAAGCTGTTTTGATTCTTCCCTAAGATGATTTTTGATGTTTAAGTGGTTTTTTTTAATGGTATCTTGATTTTTTTAATATGATATTTTATTAAGTCTTTGAGAATTTCATGCATTGTATTTTGATCATATTCACAGCCTCCCATTTCTCCCTCTAACTTCTCCCTGATCCACCCCCTTCCTTGAGTGAAAATAATAAAATAAAAAGGAAAGGACATGACTGTTCCTAGGTATAGTGGAGGAGAAAGTTTATTATAAATGTGTGGGAGAGCAGAGCCAGAGGCAGAGACCTCTGGGAGAGCCCACAGTGGACATGTGTAGTCAGAAGTTTTCCTGTGTCCCATGGCCGCTGGGTCTCAAATAAACACACAGAGGCTTATATTAATGACAAACTGTTTGGTCTATAGCTCGGGCTTATTGCTAGCTAGCTATTGCATCTTAAATGAACCCATTTCTATGAATCTGTGTATCGCCACATGTCTCATGGCTCTACCTAAATTCCATTACATCTTGCTTCTCAGGTGGTGGCTCCTCTCACCCCGCCTCTCTTCTTCCTCCTGTCTTGGATTTCCTGCCTGGCTGTCTCCTGTGTTGCCATAGGTCAAAGCATCGTTTTTGTTAACCAATGGTAGCAACATATATCCACAGCATACAGAATGACCATCCCACAGCAGACACGACCCTTAGCCATGTTAGGAGAAGGTGGAGGGAAAGGGTGAAGGGAGAGGATGGCTGATCAAGAGGGGCAGCCTGGGCCGAGGGACTGGCCAAGAGACTGGCATAGCCAAAATGGTGGGATTATATAGGGAAGGACAGCTGGGGGAAGGGCAGCCCAGCCCCTGCGCTGGAGAAGTTTAGGGTGTGGGCGGGGTATGCCAGCCATACCCTATAACAGGTAGGACTGAGGGATGCTGGGAGAACTTGGCGGCCAACATCTGTCCTGATATGTTAAATAGGCACCTAAGCTTGTTTGTCCTGTGTTTAAGACCCAATACTCCTTCCCTGCTCCCATCTTCAAAGCTGATTTTTAAAAGAAAACAATTAGCTTGGTAATATATTTTGTCAACACACATAGCCAGTATTGGAATACTCAGTAAAACTGAATGTGAACATTAGCTTATAATGAAATGTTGCTTAAAACATGACTGGAAGTCAGAAATAATAATCCTGACTATAGTGAAGAATAGAGGTAATATTGCAAAGGGTAGGGGGTCATCTACTCACTTTTAGGTTTCCTATATTTGTATCTAGGTTCACCCTGAAGTTCAAACCTACTCTATGTTGATGCAACATTCTGAAGATCTCTCTTACATCCTCAGTGACTGGAACTTAGGCAGGACCTCACAGCCAGAGTTAACAACACACCTTGAGGTCACATGAGACTACCATCCTTCTGTGGACTCAGCCTGTTTAACCTCCCTGTCTTCGTTGGGGTTACTAATTGCTGTGATAAAACACCATAACCAAAGCAACACAGGGAGGGAAGGGTTTGTTTGGCTCACACTTCCACATCACTGTTCATCACTGAAACAAGTCAGGGAAGGAACTCCAACAGGTCAGGAACCTGGAGGCAGGAGCTGATGCAGAGGCTGTGGAGGGGTGCTGCTTACTGGCTTGCTCCCTGGGGCTTACTCAGCTTGCTGTGGTATAGAACCCAGGACCACCAGCCCAGGGATGGCACCACAAACAGTAGGCTGGTCCTCCCCATCAATCACCAGTTAAGAAAATGCCTTACAGACTTGCCTACAGCCCAGTCTTCTGGAGACATTTTCTCAGCTGAGGCTCCCTCCTTCGATGACTCTAGCTTGTGTCAGGTTGGCGTAAAACTACCAGGTACACTGCCGTTAAGAGAACAGTGTCCAACCAACCTTAGTATCCTTGGATTTTCCATGTAATCAACTTGTACAACCTAAGTCAATGCATAGCTGCAATCTTAACTCACTCTTCCACGCCCCTGATCCAGAGCAATGCTTATGAATCCTTTGCTGAAAGCAGCAAATACAGAAGTGGAAAGCAGCTTCCTAAAATCTACCATAAAGGCTAAAAACAACCACTTATGGACACGGTTGATTATCAATGATGTTTGTTATCTGGGTCAGTCAGGGTCAATCGGGATCAGTCGGAGCCAGTGACCTAATCCCTTGTAAATGTATGTTAAAGGTTTCTGTAGAGTATCTGATCCCTTCCCTATGGAACAGCTTCCTGTGCTGTTCAGCAGATGCAGAGCAGACCCTCTATTAGACACACACAATCACTCAAAGGCAGAAGATATAGACCCAGGGACAGTTCACAGCCTTCAGGCAGATGCAGACTCATACAACAGTCAGAGGAGACAGAAGGAAAAGGAAGTAGAAAATCCAAATCTGGGCTTGATCCTGGCTGACAGACTCCAAGGGGAAGTACCGTGTCTTAAAGCCACACTGATGCATTGTTGGTGGCTCAGAGTTAATCACTGATGCGTGTAATCCATGCATACCCTTCTTCTTTTAGACACTTGAGACTGATAATTCTGAGCTGTTTTTGCATTTTTGATTCACTTAAGGGAAAAAAAAAACTCAGAAAACAGATTTTAGTAAAAGAAAATTTATTGATAATTTCACCAAACTCAGATAACCAAGGTAAGCATTTGGCGCAACTTTTTGGACACTTTAAACACAGTCACACACATATGAAAAACGCCTGCCTTTAGCTGTGTCTGTGGTGGTGTGCACCTGCAATCTCGGTATTGGAGATCGAAGCAAGAGTATCAGGGGTCTGTGAGTTCAGGGCCCGTGGGGGCTGTCTAGAGAGACGCTTTCAAAGAGCAAGCGCTGGAGTGGGAGAGTACTAGCCTAGTCTGTACTCAGTTCTGAGATTAAAGAGAGGGAGAGGGGGAAGAGCAGGGAGAAGGAAAGAGAGAAAGGAAATCTATAGCCTCGTCTAGTGTCACTGAGGCAGAAAGATCACAAGTTCAAGACCAGCCTGGGCTGTATAGCAAGTTCAAAGCCAACCTGTGGAACATAGTGAGACTTTGTCTCAAAACATACAAATGAGCTATAAAAAAAAAAAGAAAAAAAAACCCAACTGCAATATAGTCTTGCATTTTTAATTTAAAATTATTAGGTTGTATATAATATATGCCAGCACCATTTCCTTCCTTCCTTCCTTCCTTCCTTCCTTCCTTCCTTCCTTCCTTCCTTCCTTCCTTCCTTCCTTC